CTCTCTCTCTCTCTCTCTCTCTCTCTCTCTCTCTCTCTCTGTTCCTTCTAAGAATAACATAAACCTCCCAAAGAATATTTTGCATTTAAGGGCCCCGGGGCTTATGGGGCAGAGGGAGGAATGGGTCGGGGAGGGGGGAACTTAATTATTCATGTTACCAAACAGGCAGTAGAAAAGTATGCCCTCTAACTTTTCAGGAGTCAAAAGAGAAACAGGCTCAGAACAATCTCTTGCTGGCCTGGAAGATCATTCTGTGGACTATGGACTGCCGCTATGCATGGGTAGATGGGTAATTAAATGGCAGATTTTGTTTTCTCCAACTGGAGTGGCAACCTGGGGTTCTTCCAGATGGAAACTCCTAGTACAACCAGTGGAAATCATGCCTCTTCCTACTGAGTAGATTAAAGCAGATGCGGAACAGGACAGGACAGAACGGAACGGAACCCAACAGGGATGGAAGTTGGATAGGAACATGCATTATCTCAGCCCCACACAAAATCATGCAAAGGAGGCAAGATGATGGCATAAAAGGATCTATTGAGAAGGCATGATTAAGGAAGAGGGAGTCAAATCCATCCCTTCTGCAGTTCCACAGAAGGCCCTGATCCTGCCCCTTTCCCCACTGGGTGTTTTCCCAAGTTTTGTGCCATTCTTTCCCCCTATTCTAAAAGATAATCAACGCATCCCGTATGACTTGATGTGGTAGTATGAGGTTTATAGACGTTGGTAGTTTGGGTATTTTGGCCCACTTACCTCCTTCCTCATCCACCACTGAAATGCAGCTCGCGAGAGCTTTTCTAAAACATAATTTGCCCACGGGCAGGAAGAGATGCTCACTTTATGAGAAGTGCCCAGGAAGATTTACACAGAAGACAGGCCTCCTGTGAAAAGGGTGGACTTCCCAAAAGGTCCAGAGAAGAACAGCAGAGAAGACACCTGCGGCTCCATATCACTCTAGGACCCTTCGTTTGGCCAGAGCGGTGGGGAGGAGACCATTCTCCCCACGGGCCACAGGGAAAGACAAAGAACGACCTAGGAAAAGTTTTCCGAAACATCAGCTGGCCCAGAGTGCTGTGGCCAGACTCTGGGAAGGTCTGGCAACAGGGTTATGTCCTTGTTATCTCAGCTTCACAGGCTACCCGTCTGTTCTGGACACAGTTCAGAGTTTTCGCTATGAGCAACACAGCCCTATGTGGCTTGGGACCAAGCAACCTGCAAACCTGCAAGTTCCATCCACGCATTTGCAAACTGGAGGGGAAGCACCTTGCTTGCTCCATTAGAGACTTGCTTGGTGGGGCCATGGCACGGGGCCTCCTTGGTGGGTGCTTCCAGCCCTGGAACTCCCTGCATGGGGAGGATCAGCTGGTCCTCCCTGTTGCTTTTCCACCGAAGGCAGAGACGTTTTTAATCCTGGCCAGCCTCCAGCGTTTAGCCTAGCCTGCTGCTGAAATGGGTTGCTCTACCTTTTATTGTTGTGCTTGCGATCGTGTTGCTTATTTGTTCGAGCTTCTGTTTTAAAGAAGGTCCTGCTTTTACTGAATTGTTCATTGTTGATGGAACAAATAAGCAAAGTTACCCTTGGCTGAGCTTAGCAATAAATCTCTCAGATCTTCATTTACCAAGAACAACAGAATAGGAAATCGGGACAGAAGCTGCACCTGGCAGAATTCCCCCCCTCTTGAGGGCCCAGGAGCCCTGGCAAGCCTCTCTTTCGAACTCTGTGCTTCTCTTTGCTTCCTCCAGAAGGAGTTGGGAAGAGAGATGAGTGATGCAGGGCATCTGTACCCCCCTGGCGCAGCTCAGAAGAGGCCTCCCTGCAGCACAAGTTTGTTTGTTGGGTTCATTTGCATCGAAAGGATGACAGGGAAAACCCCCAGGAAGCACAGGGTAGAGACGCTAATCAAATCAAGCACTAATAATAAGCCTCCGGCTCAGGGGCCGCAGTGACTCGGCTCAGCGCAGGGAGATGACGGACGGCAAGGAGACTCTCCGCTGAGACCAGGACGGGGGAACTGTGTAAGTAGATTGCTGCCACCTTCCCCTCTGAGCCCGTGACGGGCCACGGCTTCTGCGCACCACACTTGTGGGCAGTCTGTGGCCCTCCAGAGGGTTTGGCCTACAAGTCCCATCAGCCCTAGCCAGCCTAGCCAAAGGTGAGCAGTCAAGAGTGTTCCAGGCCAAAGGGTGCAGAAAGCCAAAGTGGTTCCACTAAGCTCGGCTTAAGGGAACCTTCGAGAGCTCCCTTGATGGGAGAATTTCCCCAAACACACTTGTCCTGCATGATGTTTCCTACGGGGGACCAGGTTCTGCCCTAGATTTGGGGGGAGTGTGGGCACGAGGCCCTCCAGGAGTCCGCCTGCCCCTGTTCCCCTCTCCAATGGGCCCACCTCCTCCTTGCTGCCGCCCATTGCTTCGCCTTCTCCTTCTGGGCCCAATCCACTCAGCGGGAGAAGGAAAGCGAGCGGAGGGTGGTGCTTCCATCATTGCGCCTGTGACACGGTGACTGCAGCAGGAGGCAGGGAACGGGAACGGACCGTGAGAGGAGAAGCAGCGGCGGCTCCGGGGACGAGCATGGCCTGCTGTGCACCTGGCTGGCTTCTCATGCAATAGAGAACATGCACTGAAGACCAGCTGGTCTGCCAGGCCATTCGGCTTTCGAGCAACGAACGGAACGGGCACCACCTTGTTTCTCACCGCAGGCAGCAAAATGTCTTGGGCCAATCTTGTCTGCCCGAGGGGGACCCGCAATGTGGACAGCTGACCTCCTTGTGTCAGCCCCACTAGACCCCCCTGCCCCCCAAACCAAATCCAAGCAGGGTCTTCCGCACACCGTAAGCAAGCCAAGCAACTTCTTGGGATAGCAAGCGCCGAGAAACGCACGTGCAGGAGGCTCGGCCGCAAAGCTTTGGAAGGGGTTCTTTGTTAACCAAGGGAAAAGAAAGGAGCAAAACAGGCCGGACAAGCGGCCTTTCTCGAGGTGCACGCCTAAGATCCAAAGTTTAAGTAAACCTTCACCTGAGATTTGCCAAAGCACCTGGCAAATTCCCAGCTTCGCGCAAAGCCGTGCGCAGCCGACTCAGACCCTGCAATTCAGGACAGCCAAGGCCCTTTGCCGGATCTCAGCGCAGAGGGAAGCAAAGGAGGGGAGGAGGTGGCATAGGGTGCCCCCAAAGGAACTGAGGCCTGGGTGTGATGTAGCGCAGGGAGCAACACATGCTTTGCACGCAGAAGGGCCCAGCGTGCGAACCGTCACGCTTCCTGCTAAAAGGGGGGCAGCGTCTTCTCTACCCTAGACCATGGAGCAAGGCACAGCTGGCCGAAGTAGAGCTCCCCCCATCCAGCTGCCCTGCAGATGTTTTGCCCTCAATATTCCAGCATCCCTGACCCCGAAGATCACAACATCTGCGGGTCCCAAGTTAGGGAAGCGGGAATAGACAGGCAAAGCAGCTTTGGAATGTAAGGCTGCTTCCTATGATCCTAGGAGCTGTGGAGAGCTGAAGCGAAGGGACGTAGTTTCTCCCGTGCTATGGAGAGACCTCTTCCCATGCAAGTCGTAAAGGTACAGGAGCAAGCGCTTGCCCCTTTGAAACAGAGCGACTTTAATCAAGTACGGCCATTTCTCTGGCAATGAACTGCAGGGAATCCTTGAATGTTTTTTTTTTTTTCCCTTACCAGAACTCAAGGGGTACCGGCAAGAGCTGCACAGAAACAATTCTTAATTTAAGGCAGCAAAATCATTGAATCTAGCCATAGAGTTAAGCGATATAAAAAAGATCAGTGCAATGAGATACACAGCTTATTCTGGCCAGACTCCTATGGATCTTTTCAGAATGGAAAGCTGTGCCCCCATTCCTGGGGAAGCTTTGCCTAATAAATGTTTGCCCAGTAGAGCCATTAAAAGGAGGAGCAATGTGAATAAAAGAAAAACGGAAAGGAAAGGAAAAGATGGTGACGCAAACCGAAAAACACAAACTTGAAGGATATCGTCTCTCTTGGGGCATGTCTATATTACAGAGATTATTTTTGACATTTCACTACAGAACAAAATAGTCTTGATTTATTAGCCAAATGGTTGTAGGAGGGAAGAATGAGTGTCACTGTTTGAACCTCTGGAATCGACTGCAGGTGATTTTTAAGAGACTTTGAAGAAAGCCACAAAATTACGGTGATATGACACCACGGTAATTTTACTTCCAGTATCAGTACAGCATGAGAAAAAATTAAAATTCTAATAGCTAAGTCAAAATTCATCAGAAGGGAATTTCCTAAAAGACATCTGATCGAGTATTTTCAAATATTTCCTGATCTAGGGCAGAACGTCAGTTCTCCCTTGAAAATATTTGTTGAGATTGTTTGGCAGCTTCATCTTAACAGAATTAAAATTGGGGGTGTAACTGTGGATCTAGTTTTATGCATTAATATTATAATATGGGTGCAAGTATCACTATGAGTAAACCTTCCACCTTCTGGTTATCTCTTAATTCGTTGCTTCCTTCATCTACCTATAGAGCTGAGCCAACCCTTCTTAGAATAAGTTTGTGCGAAAATATCAGAGTTTTTATTCCCTTCCCCCTTAGAAACAGCACTGCACCTGGCTAGAAATTGGGCTCTGGCCACTGATAAAGAACTTCATCTCCAAGAAGCTGTTGGAGAATCTTTCCCTCCACCCGAATCTGGGTACATCCCTCTCTGACATCTTTGCTCACAAAACATGGTGATGTGCAAAGAAGGTGCATTGCAAAGGCCCGTCAACCAACAACAGACTTCACTAAGCTGAAATTTCCCGGATATTTTGCGAGAATTTTCGTTTTTACTCCACCTAAACTGTTGGAGAGTTTTGTCTGAATATTCTGTCAGGAAAGTACTGAGTAATGATAGCTTCTGCCATCTTCTCCCACAGTTTCAGCACCTTTTGGGGAGGCCATGTTAACCTAGAAAAGCAGGCATCCTGCAACCTTCAATCATTTTACAAGCTGCTGGAAGGAAGCGGGGGGGCTCCGAAGAGATTGCAAGGGTAATTAGGGGAAAACCGGGGGAGTCACCAGAGCCCAGTGAAGGGGGAGAGGCATGGATATTGTGAGCAGAGAGCTAAGCATGTCTGTGGGTACGAAGAATCTATTTGCATATCCCTTATCTAAAAATGACACGAGCTGTGGAAATTTCAAGCCCATCATAATTCCCCACTTCCCCAAGAATGGCAGACAGAGAAAGCTGAGTTACCCGCTGCCAAAAGCACCTAGCCCCTTGTTCTCGCAGACAGACACGCACTGGGCTTCAGCTTGCCAGGGTCAAAGGCAGCGTACAGAATGAGACAGAAAATGGCACAGCTTCAGTTTCGACCAGCCCTAATTTTGAGAATAGGCTGAAGGCTCTTTCAGACCAAAATTGCTTGGCTTGCCAGCGGGCAGCCAACCACGTGGCATTCAGGATGTCACGCATGCTTCCATTGAAATGCCCTCTTGCGAAAAGTTCCTCTCTCCCTTGGCGCAACTTACACACTTGCGGTGTTACGCAGCCTGAACCCGGGGCCAGCCACACAGAGCCCTAGTGGAGAAACAGACAGAGCTTGTTTGCCCCCCATGTCAGGGGAGGCCGTGTTGCCAAGCAGCTTTTGATGCTGTGGCCATTGGTTTACAAGGGGACTTTTACGGTATCAGTTTTACACGGTGGATATTGAGTATATATTCCATTTTTAAATGCGTAGGTCTTCTTTCCCGGTGCCTGAGGGGCAGGTGGCTGCTTGTTAACACAGAACCACCAAGCCTATCCTTAAAGTAAGTCATTCTAGCGGCACCTGTCAAAATGACCGTCCTTCAGCATTTGCTGGAGGCTCAGGAATGGCTGTGCCTTTGCAGGCAATTGCAAGGATGCAGTTCCTGTTCACTGGGGAAGCTTGCAGGCATTTCTTTGCCAGTGACTGAGTTTCAGATGAACAGCCTGGAACTCAGGGTAGGCCTGAGAACTAAGACCAACCGAAGAACCTAGACCTAAGAATGCGATTTAGAACTAAGAGTGTAACTTAGAAGTGACTTAACCTGTAAAGAAGTGTGCAGCCTAGATTGAAGAATGTGACCTAGAACTAAGACCAACGTATCAACCTAGAACTAGGAGTGCAGACTGAAACTTAGACCATGGCGTAAGGATGAGGGCTAGAAGTAAGAATGCAGCCTACCAACTTTGTACTAAGAATACAACCTAGAATTGAGAGTATGACCCAACCTAGAATGAAGAGAGTCAGTCTGCCAGCCTAGAGTGCAGTCCAGAAAATAGCCTTTACTTTCTCGTGGGTCTGCATTGCAGAGGAAGATGGGATGCAGGGGTAAATGCCCCATTGATCCACCCTTCCTGTTCTTCTCACCAAGTAACCTGCAGGGTTCACTCAAACTGCATCCTGCAAGCAGCCTCACCATACTGAAAACCAGCACTCAAGAGGCAGAGATGCCCTGAATCTCAGCTGCCAGTTTGAGGCAGGAAATCTACTTCGGTGATTAAAAACTATAATTGAAACTAACAGCACGGTCAGTTTATTGTCTGTGAATGAGACACTGAAAGGGGTCTCCTCACTTCACCCGAGGGCAAGTTTTTGTCAACCCAAAATCCGTAGGAAAAGCCGGAACTGAGCTGAGTAAAGGTCTCATCAACTGAGAGAACAGACTAAACAGCTGCATCTCTGAGGTGACTGGTGTCATTTGAGGTGCCATTTTTGAAGGATTTTCTATTTAATACAGACTCACACAGAGGTGGAAGGGGAGTGGGGAGAGAGAAAGAGAGAGAGAGAGATCACCACTTGCTGAGCATCAAGGAGAAAAGTGCTCCTAGTCCTACCTAGCCCCCACCCCTTGCGAAGAGTTTTTCTAGTACTCCAGCTCTCCTCCCTGCATGCTGAAATGGTACTGTTAGGGTGGCCATGAGAGGACAGTCCTCTAGCAGAAGGGCTGCCCAATCCTAGTCCAGTATGTCATACCGGTACTTCTATTGTGAATTTCAACAAAACAAAACCTTAAAAAGAAAAAAAAGGCAGAAAGATGTTCAGTTTAAAAATAAAGAACGTAAGATCGGAAATCTATCTGTTTCGCTTTCTCCCCCACATTTGCCTTTTAAACATCTCGAGGTTTTCGTCCATTTACAAAGAAATTGGTGGCTTCCAGTACCTCTGTCAGAACCAGAGCAGAGCTGAATTCTCTCCTTTCGACATGCTGAACTCGGCTCTGCTCGGGTCAATGCAGAGGAGCACATGGCTGCTGCTGGCCAAGTGGATTTCCAGAAAATGTGTTGACTGGCCTGTGGATGGAGGGGCAGATGGACAGATCTGTTGGTTTTGCCTTCTCCTACATTCAGATATTTCCCCTAATTCCCCGCCCCCCACCAAGCTTTTGAATGAATTTCCAAAAGTGGGCAAGATCAGAATTTGCTGGAATGGACCTTGTACGCCACCCACCCAGAGTGCAGGAAGGGGCCGTTCAGAAGAACTCTAAATTCAGCATCAGCCTTCAAAACTCTCGCAGCGGTAAAGACATGCTTTGCATACCCAAAATTTTTCTCCACGCCGCCAGATAGCAGCATCTAAGAAGGACCCCGGCCTGGAATCCTGGAGAGCTGCTGCAGTCCCAATAGACAAAACCCAGCTAGAACTGATCCGGGGTTCCCCGCTTCCCATCCCATCCCTCCTTCCTTAGCTTTATAGATGTTATCCTGTCATGTTTTAATACTTGAGAATTTCACATTATTTTCTCGGAATTGCCTGTTCCCCAGAGTCTCTTGCACTTTCGATATTGCTACCCCCGAATTCAGTCTCCCGGGACTGAAAGAGCCCACCTTTTTTTCTTTAAACCAGGGCTGGGTCCCCTTTGTCCCTTGGCTGAAGGAAGGGGTGGCAGAGAGAGAGAGAAAGGGGTTATGTGATAGAGAAAAGGGATGACAGAGAGAGATGACGAGCCGACACCCTCAAACTCCACCTGCAGAAAGCCCTTTGTCCTGCAGCCTTCCTGCCAGCCCACATACTGGCACGGGCCCTTCTCCTCCCTCCCGGCCTCCACGTAATTCTAGCACCATGCAAGCAGCACCACTACGAATCTGCCCAAGTGGACCAGGAGATCCACTCACCAGCATCCTCTCCCACCGCCGTGGCCAGACGCTTGGCCCAAGACTGACAGGCAAGGCACGGGGGTGCATCCCCACCAGCCCGTAGCATCATTCAAGGGTTCGAAGGGTACGGCCAGCGTGGCTTCCGGATCTGGTGGGCCCTGAAAGCAAGGCATCCTCCATGCAGCCCCGCCGTGAGTTCTTCCTCTTGCGGCCGCCATTCGCGCTTCTCTTTCTCCTCTTTCTCCTCACCGCTTGCCCTCACTTGCTCGAGAGGCGGAGAGCCAGTGAGGAAGTGGGCAGGGGTATCTCCTGTTTGCCCTCTTCACAACCTCCGTTGCTCGGACAGGAGCTGGACACGAGCAAACAACCAGGCTGCGATGCTGAAAGGGCGAGTGACTCCAGCGAAGGCTTGCCAGTGGGCCCGAACTGGGACAGGGGCCCTTACCGCCTGCCAGCCATGCCAACTCCTGCATGCAGGGCGGGTGGGGGCTGCATTTTCAGCTCTCATACTGAACTAAAGTTTCCACCAGTGTTTTTCTGTGAGGGTTTCATATCAAGCGATGCAGCCACAGGTGGGTTTAGGCCGCACGCAAGACCAGAGCAGACCAGGTGCAAGGGGATTCTTTAGCCCCCGTTTTCCCCAGCCGTTCCTCCTTCCCCACAACTTCTTCACCAAATTATTTTTCTTCCTAAGAAGGGAAAGATAAGGGGGACACATGATTCCTCAGAGAGAAGCAACAGGAAGCCATTTTGAGCATGTCTGAGTAAACAAACTATCTGGAACAAAAAGAGACGGGCTGGAAAAAGAAAAGATGAAAACGGCATGACCTGAAACCACCTGGTGGCTTTAGAAGGGGCCGTGCAGCCTTCACATGCCGGGATGCAGGTGGAGGGGGTGGGGGAGTGAGACACACACACGAACACGGTCCACCCAGATTGCTCAGCTTTCTTCCGGTGATTTCAAGAGAGGCGTTCATCGTGCAATCGGCCTAGCTTAAAGATGGAATCTTACCAGAGCTCCGCTTGTAGCCACACCCAATGTGGAGAAAGAGATGGAGCAGCCTTGTCCGTTTGTAGCGTGGAGAGTCCTCCACCTGGAAGCGTGCCGGGCTCCAGGGACCTTGGCAGTGCTCAACATGGAAGCCTGCTCAATCGGCACAAACGTCAGGTTTTTCCAGTCTGTCGCCACAGTGACGTATTTCCTTTTGCAGACTTCCCCAGGTCATTTCGTGAGTTTGCATCAGACCATGCTGTGCCCAAAGGAACAGTACTGGGACGAGCTGCTATGGAAATGCATCCCCTGCAGGCTTGCCTGTCACCCGCTGAAGGTCAAGGGATGTGCCGACATCTGTGGTGAGTGTCCGACAAATACTTTTGCTTGAAGTAGCGCTGTTACTGGTGGACGGGTTTGATTCAGCAGAGACGTCTTGCAAACACACGCAGCCGTCAGAGAGGCACGCGCTGGGTCTGCCCATCTTGATAAAGTCACCAGCACGCACAAGCACAGTTTGTGCCACGCTGCACCGGTCTTTCTGACATGAGAAAGCTCAGCTGCAGAGAGACGGGGCAGGTGTGCGACTCCACTTCATGTCCTGCTAATCTCCCAAATGTCAATCCGCACGGCCTGCGAAGGGGATGTGGTGGTGAGAAAGAGTTGCCCCCGCAGCTGAAGACGTTGCTGTAGGCTTTGGCCACAGAGATGCATTTAAATTAAAAACAGTGCATTAAAAAATAAAATAACCCCGAAGGGTCCCCTTCATATGCAGTTCTGCTGTCCAGGTTTCACTGTCGGGACCCTATAGAGGGCTAGACCACTTTTATTATGCTTCTGAAGACCCATTCACAAATACGAAAAGCAGGTCGCACTTACTAGGACAGAGGTCTGGAATCCCAGCTGTTGCTGGTGGCCTGCAGCCATTGTGTTGAGGAACCTACTGGCTCAGTTCCCTTGAATGGTGGTGGCAGGAAAGCAGAGGAGGCAGGCCTGTGTTTACACATGCCCTCTTCTCCAAGCCCCCAGCATTCCTCCTGCACTGCTTACTTGAGGACAGAAGATCTTCCTGTTGGCTCCCAAGCCTTAAGAAGACTTGGCTGTAACAGGCACGAGAGAGACACACACAGAGAGAGAGAGAGACAGAGAGAGAAGCGACATATGCAGTATTTTCCCTCTGCCACAGTGGGCAGAAGGATCTATGGCTACTTTGCAGGGTGATATGCAGTGGATCCCAAAGATTTCTGACCTCCAGGAGTTTAACAGTAGCAGCGACAAGCTCGTGAGGCATCGGTGCCTGGGCCCGAAACACCCAGTGAGCCGAGTGGGGACTAGAACTCAGTTCTCCATAGTCTTGTTCCAACACCGCCGTTCCTACACTGGCTCTCCGTTTAGATCTGCTGGTGTGCAACACAAGTTCCTGGCCTCAGAACTGGGGAATGCCTTTTTAAAAAGTCATTTTCAGAAGGCGTTTGGTGCAGAAGAGGAAGGCCATCTTGTTTTGCGTTTTTTGTCCACCAACCTTCAACGGCTAAATCCCAATGGCGTGTGTGGTCCTTTCCCTTCCAACAGCAGTGGCTGAAATGAACTGTATGGATTTTGTCTGTCAGACTTGCATGCAGGTAAGATACAATCCATACCACCATGCAATCCATGCAATCAAATACCACTCTCAAATTCCTCTGCAAAGCATCTATCCACATAGTTTAGAAGCTTTTCTCTGGGATAGACCCTAGAATGCATCAGCAATTCTTAATAATCTGCAGAGGATTTCTCTAATGCTGTTCTCCTTTCTAGTAAAGTTGACATGCATCACTAAAATCCCTGAATCCATATTAGTTGAATACTTTCATTACACTAGCCAAAAGATCACCAAAATGGAAAACAGGCAAGAGTGTATGTTGCTGGTGACATTTTGCTTGACTAGATGAAGGTATTACACCAATGTGGATGACCCGAGAGGTAGATCCTCCAAGCTGAATGTCTCCAATCCTTAAAGCAATTTTGTCAAAATGCTTCTCAGCTGCTTAACGTAGGGACATCACCAAACGGACAAACTTTTGCTTGGATGAGCACTTCCTTCCTGATAATAAGCAAGTCTGCAGCATTTGCAGTTACTAGCTAGATGATAGGAGCAAGGATGGTGGTGGACAAAGGGAGGTCAGCTGCCCCCTTTTCAACTTCAGAAAATTCAGGGATGCTGCGGTTCCCATGGTGATGTGCTCTGGTGGCCAATGAACAGCAACCCAGCCTAAGAGGAGGTACAGACTCGGTGAGAAAAATGCTGACTGTTCTTTCTCTTTTACCTAATGCAATGGATTTCATCTCCTGCATCTCAGCTTCCATGGACTGCAGCAAACGTGTGGGCTTTTTCTACGACAGCCTCCTGAGAAAGTGCATTAATTGCTCCAGCATCTGTGGACAGCACCCCATTGAATGTCTGCCTTTCTGCAGAAGTAAGTCCCCGGGAAGGCTCTAGCACACCCCAGAGGAAGCGTGGGGCTTGGTTTCCTCCCTGGGATTTTCATCCCCAGCACATGAAACATTCATTTGCCTCTGGGCATATACAGAGGGCTTTTTGCCACCACTGCAGAATAACTACAGGTCACTTTCCACTAGTCTGGGAACTTGGGGAGTGAGATGAAGGGAACAATTCTATGCTATTGCTGGTTCAGCTTAGTGTCCAGAATAGAACAGGGGGAAAAGAGCTGCTGAGCATCCCCAAACCAGGAGTGCCAGTTCTGGTTTTGTTGACTGACATCCTCATCAAGAGCATCTTTGCATCTTGCGAGGAACCCCAGGTAGCTTAGTCCACTCCATCCAAGTATGGGATGTCACTTAATTATGGTTTGTTGTTACGTGAGGATCCACTGTATGGATGATCTATGGGGTTGTTAACCAGAATTTGCAATCCAACCACAGCATGGTTTCTCTTCCTGGGTGTTTTGTGGTGAACAACCCATAGTTCAGCCATAGTGTAGGCTTCATACATACCAGCTAACCACAAGTCAAAAACGACTCATTAGCTAATGACGACTGATACTCAAGCCAGGGTCGTACCGCGGCCATTACATGTGAAGCCGGCCTAAAAGGGATTTGACAAGGAGATCAATGGCTCAGAAAAATGGTAGGCTCTTCCCTTCCTCACTAGGTTTTTTCAGGCCGAGGGTAAACAGTTATTTCTAGGTTTCTTCCACTGGGTGTGTTCAGGCAGGTGTTTGCCCATTCTCACCGGGTTCTTTCATCTTCCATCTCTGTGTGCTTTTAAATCTGCTTGAGGGAATAATGCAGTCTAAAATTGCTTCGGATTCTTGTTTGCTTTACTGAAACCAGCTTGGGCATGTGACAATGCAGGAAGCATAGTTCAGCAGCAGGGCATCGATTCTGTTAGAGGTGCAGTTCCCAGCAAATCCCAGTTTAACAACTCAGAGACCGGGGAGAAGCTGCTGCCACAGAGAACAATGCTAGATCGGAGGGAAAAATAAGCATGATGTGATAGAAGGCAGCGTTCTATGTTCTAGGGACATTGGGCAGGATCAAAACGTTCTTAACAGATAAATAAAAAGCCCAGTCAAAGCACACACCAGAAGGGAAAAATTGTCCCTTTCTTAATACAGCCTTCCAAACAAGTCCATAAACGTTACTAAGATACAAAGAAGTGTTAGCATCCTGTTAAGAAACTAATAGTTTGCATTTCCATGACATTCCTTTATCTGTAGCCAGCATAGAAAGCAACGAGCCAGTGGAGGGGAGACAGAGCAATTGTTGCTCTTCCTTCGGCTCACTTGCTCTCCTGCCTAGATAGTTGCTCTATCCCTTAGAGCAGCCCTGGTCTCTTCTGGAAATTTACTGTAAGGGTAAGTGGGTTTTTTGACTTGACCATGATTATGGTTTTACTAAGCCCTACTCCAAGTCACAGCTTGCTGGGGTGGCTTGTAGATCATGTTGCATGAAAAATGTTGGCTTCGGACAACATGCAAAACTGGCTTAGCACTTCGCTTGGCTTAATGTGTTCTGTGAACCCGAGTCAGAGATGTGTCTTTAGTCACGGGGAACCCTGGCTGCTAATCCTCTCTCTCCCCGCCTCCCACCCTGGACTTGCAGAGGATCTCGCAGCCACCTTACCAGCACCAGCGGCTCTCCAGGCCATCCAGTGCAGGCTGGATGGCACATGCAACCAGACGGTCGTCATCTACCTGGTCTTCGGATTCTGCCTTTGCACCCTGCTCTTCTCCTTGCTGGTTACCTGGATTTGCTTCAGGAAGACGGGGGAGGACATGATGTGTCCAGCCAGTACACCTTGTCGGAAAAGAGAGAATAGCCCTAAAGGTAAAGATTTACTGTTCTTCTATACAGGATGCAAAAGTGGGAATTTCACCCCCACATCCTCCTTGGCACGACTACACAAACCCTAATGTGCATCCTATTAGAACTGGCCTGCGAAGGCAGCAGAATCAGGTGGGAGGGCAGGTTACAAGTGCCTTAGACTGTGGACTTGACTGCATCGTTAAAAGGCCACTTTCCCCCTCTTGGCGAAAGGCGGTCTCCATGCTTTTAACTGATGCACCGCTGCTGGTCCTGGACTGCTCCCATCTTAATGCACGTGGCATTCTTTTTCAGACCGTCTGATGGAAGCCGAGAGCATGGGAACCAGATCCAATGGCAGCCAGACTCCAGAGCCTGTCGAAACCTGTGGCTTCTGCTTCCCTGAAGTGAGCCCTGCTGTCCAAGAGACCAGGGCATGCCACAGTTCCTACCAATTCGGGACGCAGGGGGATGCTGCCGTGGCAGGAGACATGGGAACGGCACCAACCCCTGAAGATGGCCACTTCCAAATTATATGCTCCCCCTCGCAGGAAAAGATATAGTTGACCTGAGCTGAACTAAGATTGGCAACTCCGTTCTGTGGGAGCGTGCTCCACCCCATTCCTTGTTAGAAAGCTGCGTGATTTCTGAGGTCCTTTCCCACACATAACTCCCACGAAGTAGTGGGTTATTACTCCTAGCACACAGAAAGTAAGCATCTCAGGGAAGATAGTTCAACAGCTATCGCCTTCACCTTGGCATACCAGATGCTCACTCTCCAGGGCAGGCAGAAAGCAAATCTGGGTGACTTGTAGTAGATCCACAAGGATTCCTGACTTCCACTTATGGCTGCAATGAAGAAAGCTTGGAGTAACCAGAACCGGGGTTTTGTATGGAGGGACTGTGACCTGCATTCCGTTCTCATATGCAAATATCTGACTTTAGCATTCTTTAATTCTAAGTGGGCCCAGTTGATGGACCTCAGAGTTTCGGTTAGTAAACACGACATAGATTCCACAAGGCTGTCTCTGTTGATCACTGACTTACAGTTACATTTCCACTGCCTTTGAAAGGTTTCCCCTGTCCCCATGTTCTAAGGCAGGAATGGACAGAATCCTGGAGGAAAGGCAGGTTGCTTACCTGTAACTGATGTTCTTCGAGTGGCCATCTGTGCAGTCACACATATGGGTGCTGCGCCTGCACAGTGCCTAGGCCGGAAGATTAAAAAGCTAACGGTTTTTGGCGGGAAAACTCCGCTCCCCTCCCCCTTCGTGGTATAAATAGAGCGGAGTGTCCGCCATTTTGTTCAGTCTTGAAGACCGAACGTTCACTCTCTACAGGTTAAGAATAAAATTAATGACAAACAGCATTGTACCCCAACAGTACCAATACAAATTATAGTACGGTACCGAGAACAATATCCACTCACCAGCATATACCATCGGCACCGATGCAAATTACAGTACGGTACCGAAAAGCAGTATCTACTCATGGACACCGAGTGGGGCCGGTGGGTGGGTTGTGTGCCTGCACAGATGGCCACTCGAAGAACATCAGTTACAGGTAAGCAGCCTGCCTTTCTTCGTCGTGGACTCTGTGCATCACACATATGGGTGATTAGCAAGCTTACCCAACTCGGGAGGAGGGAGGTGTCGTCAGCGAAGAACAGACGAAAGAACAGCCCTGCCAAAAGAGCAGTCCTGCCTGGCGCGCACATCAAGCCAATAGGCCTTGGCGAAAGTGCATGGCCCTGCCCACGTTTCAGCTTTACAGATACCTTGAAGCAAGACCCCTGAGGCAAAGGCAGACGAAGTCGCAACAGCTCATGTAGAGTGACCCCTCGGGGTAACAGGTAAGTCTATTTTTGATAGTTGATAGGACAAGACAATAGTCTGGGTGATCCAGTGCGACAGCCGTTGAGCTGTGACTGGCAGTCCTTTGTCATGTTCGGAGTACTTAACAAAGAGTCTGTTCATGCGACAGAAGGATTCTGTACGGGAGCGATAGAAAGCCAAGCAGTGGCGAACATCAAGGGTGTGCAGAGCATGCTCTATTGGATTCAACGGCGCTGGATAGAACGCTGGCAGAACAATATCTCGACTCAAGTGGAATGGTGTAGCCACTTTAGGAAGAAATGAAGAGTCCATACGAAGAACGACCTTTTCCTTATGGAAATTAAGATATGGAGGGTCTATGCGGAGAGCAGAAAGTTCGCTCGCTCTCCGAGCTGATGTCACCGCTATGAAGAAAGCTGTTTTCCAGGACACCAGGCGTAGGTCGATAGTCGCCAGTGGCTCCAACAGAGGTTTGGAAAGTGCTTGCAGTACAACCGAAAGGCTCCACGTTGGCATAGCTGGGCGAATAGAAGGGTGTTAGTTCTGTAACCCCCAAAGAAAACATCGAAGCAGAGGTTGAGAGAAAACTGATACCCCTTGAACCGCACCACGATAGTGTGAAATGGCGGCTACATAAACTTTAATGGATGACAGTTTCAGTCCCAAGTGATAGAGTTCCAGGAGAAATTGCAAAATATTGTCAATTGAGGCCATTTGAGGAGAAAAAAAAATGGCGTTCTGCAAAGGAAGAGAATCTCTTCCATTTAGCCGCACAAGAGCGACAAGTGGACGGTCTTAAAGCAGATGCAAGAATTGCCTGAATTTCTTGGTCAACAGTCATTGGTAGCGAAGCGGTTGCCATCGAAACTGACGTAGGGGCCGTCGGTACAGTGCAGTGAATACAGTCCACTAGAGGTTGGGATGTTGTCGGTACCGACACAGCGGAATGACTCAAGTGATCCGCCATGCCGTCAGTCTCAAGGCAGTCAGATCTGGATGTTGGACTGCTCCGTTTTGCTGCATTAATAGCTGAGGAATAGACGGGAGGTGAAGAAACGTTCCTTTGGATAGACGTAGAAGGGTGGCGAACCACGGTTGTCTCGGCCACCATGGAGTTATTATTATTTCCGTGGCATTCTCTTGAGATATTTTCACTACCACTTTCGTTAGAAGTGGATTGGAGGAAATGCATAAAAGGCTATGTTGTCCCAGGGGTTCATAAGGGCATCTCCCATCAGTCCCGATCCTATGCCCGCCCTGGAACAGTATAGGGCACACACTCTGTTGTTGCAAGTGGCGAACAAGTCCAAGTCCGGACAGCCCCACAAACGGAAGAGGTCCTGGCATATTTGTCTGTCCATCTCCCATTCGTGCGTTGTTGACATATGTCTGCTCAACATGTCTGCTTCGGTGTTGTCGGTCCCTGCGGGAGGACTTCTAAAAGCATAATGTCCCTCGGTATGCACCAGTCCCAAATGGCCATCGAGAGACGTGCTACAGCTGGCGATTTTGTGCCACCCTGTTTGTTGATGTAGAAGACAGCTGGTACGTTGTCTGACGCAATCTGGACGACTTGTCAGCATAGCACAGTCTCAAAAGCCTTGAGGGCGTTGAAGATCACCTGAAGTTCGAGGAAGTTGATGTGCTTCCTTGCTTCCCATCGGTTCCAAGTCCCCTGGACCCAAAGATCCGAACATGTTGTGCCCCATCCGAATAGCGATGTGTCTGTATACAGGGTCTTCATTGGATGAGGTGTTCGAAACGGGACACCAACAGACAGATTGCTCAAAATGGTCCACCAAGCTAGAGTGTCGAGTATCACAGACGGAATTTGGATCAGTTTGTTGGGAGAATCTCACTGTGGGCGAAACGAAGTGTTGAAAAACAGCTGCATGGCCCACATACGTAGTCTGGCATACGGGACAATGGCAACTACAGCAGCCATGTGCCCCAGTAGTCTCTGAATGGATATAGCCAGAACCGTTCCGAGCGTTCAGATTCGATGGATGTGGGCACATAAGGTAGCTCGACGGTCTGGAGGGAGGAAAGCTCTTTCCCGTATGGAGTTGAGACGTGCCCCAATAAAGTCGATGATCTGTGTGGGAATAAGGGACGATTTTTCGTGGTTAATACATAGTCCAAGATCATCGAGCAAGACGCAGGTCACGTGTATTGCAGACAGAAGACCTTGTTTAGTTTGGGAAACAATTAGCCAGTCATCTAAGTATGGGTATATTTGCACTCCTCGTGTCCGTACGTGTGCACATACTGGTGCCATACACTTTGTAAAAACTCGAGGTGCGGTGGCCAGGCCAAAGGGCAGCACAGCATATTCGAACAAGTCGAGCCCAACAGTAAAACGCAGGAAACGTCTATGCGAAGGATGGATAGCAATATGAAAATAGGCATCCTTCAAATCCAATGAGGCGAACCAATCCTCTCTCTTCAGTAACGGAAAAATATTCTGTAAAGTGGTCATCTGAAACTTTTTTGGTTTGATGTATTTGTTAAGATTTCCTAAGTCCAAAATCGGACGAAGACCACCGTCTCTTTTCGGGACCGTAAAGTATCTGGAGTAGAATCCGTGCAACCCCTCCGAGCAGGATATTTGTCGAATTGTGCCGTTGCGAAGCAACTGAGAGACTTCTTCGCACAGTACTGACGAAGAAGATGTAAATCGAATCGGACACAGTGGAGGGATGACATCGAATTCTATCCTAAATCCGAACTGAATGATAGACAACACCCACCTATCAGATGTAATGGACTCCCAAATGGGGAGTCGGCCCTGAAGCCGGTCCCCAAAAGGGAGAGGGGAAGGTGGTGTGGGAAGAGAAAGAATGGTTCGCCCGGACCATCAACGTGGACGTTTATTGGCGTCCAAGCACCGCCAGCCCTGGGAAAAAAGTTGCTTCGGCTGTTGTCGCCGCCGTTGCTGCCTTTGCTGGTAGTGTTGCCGAGGGTGGAATTGTGGACGGTAGGAGGAACGAGGCCATTGCCACTTACGCCTCTGTTGAGAAAGCTCCATGCGGCGCATGGTCATACGCGATTCATGTATCACTTTTAGCTTGCGTTCGGTTTTTTGATGAAACAATCCGGTACCGTTGAATGGCATTTCCTCGATCCTCCGTTTCATCTCGTCGGGGAAATGGCAATTGCGGAGCCACGCATGTTGGCGCCGTGAGATGGCATTCACGAGAGCCCTCGAATTGGTGTCTATGTGATGTCGTGCAGTAGACAACTGTTGCACTGCTACCTGCATTGCTTCTTTGATGAAGACCTTGGCAAGTTCGGCTTGGCGGTCTAGAAGGGAGGAAGCAACATTATCCAGCTTCTGCATAATAAAATACTGGTAACGTGCCAGTGTTGCTTCCTAATTCAATATGCGCTCACCGAGTCCAGAGGCCACATAGACTCGGCGCGCGAGCATATCGATTCTCCTCCCTTCCTTGTCCTGAGGGGCTGTGTGTCCCCTGGACTCCCTGCCCTGGGAGGATTCGACGAGGACAGAGTTCGGTCATTAAAAGGCACGAGGCCCAGTGAACGGCGGTCACAAAGACTGAACAAAATGGTGGACACTCTGCTCTATTTATACCACGAAGTGGGAGAGGAGCGGAGTTTTCCCACCAAAAACCTTTAACTTTTTAATCTTCCGGCCTAGGCACTGCGCAGGCGCAGCACCCATATGTGTGATGCACAGAGGCCACGACGAAGAAATTACCTTATTGTTTCTCTTTGAAAAACTAAAAAAACCCAAAACCGTAGACACCAACAAGACAATGAGCACTTTTCATACCTTGCCCCCCACCCCCAACCCACATCTGTTCACAGGAACAAGGCACTGGAATGTAATACCTACGTTTCTATAATCCAAAATAAAAATGCCAATTTTCTGCACTATCTGCCACTGTAACGTAATTGCAGATTCAAAAGCCAAGTGTACGTATGTAGTGTTAAGTCCTGCTAGCCTTAAGCAGGGTGTGGCACAGTGGGAATCATACAATCACAGAATAGTAGAGTTGGAAGGGGCCATGAAGGCCATCAAGTCCAACCCCCTGCTGTTGCAGGACACCATGTCACACCATCCCATTCAGAGAGCTGCCCAGTTTCTCCTTGAATGCCTCCAGTGGGGGAGAGCCCCCCACCTCTCCAGGCAGCTGGTCCCACTGCCGTATTGCTCTGACAGTGAGGAAGCTCTTCCTGATGTCCAGCCTGAATCTGGATGGTTGCTACTTGACTTGATTATTCCGTGTCTCATGCTCTGGCATC